TCACTTCCTGAAACAAAACAAAATGATTTTCTTAATCATCCATCTGAAATAATAAAATTAGCAAAAAAAAAATAATCTTTAGTTTAAATTAGTTTAATACATAAAACAAAACAAGAAAAAAGTGATTGAATGAGATGAATCATGGCATAGATATCTATAAAATTTTGCTTTAGTGATAAAGGGGGAAAAATTGAAGTTATTTTAAGTGAAACATAAGCTAGAGAAATAAACTATTAGGCCTAATTTAAATAATTTAATTCCTTTCTCCCAAAACACTACATGTATCCTTAAAAAAAGAAAACTTAAAATTTATCAATATTTACCTTGTGTAAAAATTCTTATGTACATCTACTGTATCAGCTTGACGCTCATTAGGTATGCCTAGTTCCTGTTGAGCAGTTAAGACAGATTAAGTAAATAATTCAAATTTGTAAGACAAACCACTAAATGATACTGTTTTATATATATATATATATATATATATATATATATATATATATATATATATATATATATATATATATATATATATATATATATATATATATATATATATATATATATATATATATATATATATATCCTTCCTGCAAATCAGCATATTTTGCAAAACAAATATTTAAAAAAAATACATAATGATATTGTATCAATCATCACCACTGACTTGGTTTTACTAGGTAAAATATTTTTTAAATACAATATTTATACAAATAAAAATCTATCTCAATCAACATGTTCAAAATAAACCAAAGCAAACTTGTGATAACTTACCTGATTAATGTTTGAGAGGATTCAACCAGTTCTCGCCACTGAAGCAGATTAGATGCATGTGTTATAACACTTGTGATATACTGATTGCCATTTTGTGCACTTTAAGTCCTGGAGATCTATGTTGTAGGCATAGACTGTTAAACCTGGATAGTAATATTATAGAAGTAAATTATATCTAGTATAATATAAATATTTTAAAATATAAATGACACTAAATTATATTTATCATTATTGGAAATAAAAATGGTACAATTAAGTTATAAAAAAAACAAATTATAAAATTTAAAGCAGCTTATTAATAATTGTCATACCTTTTCCTACTTTTATGTCAAATGTAAGAGGTAATAGAGAAAGAACATCTTGTGTCATTTAGTATGCTGTAGTCTTATTACTGGTAAAAATCAGATCTTCCCTTTTTTCTGGATGAACCTGTAAAAGAAAAAGAGAAATTACAACATGGATAAACACAATGAATATCATATCTAATCCTCAACTAGTTATCACCCCAATCCTAACCTCATTTTTTAAAACCAATTTCTAAATATGTTTTCAGAACAAATTTATGTTAAGTCTACCTATTTTAATGTTCAGAATACTAATATTTATCAAAACTACCTCCAGTTGAAATTCAAGATACCTTTATAAAAAGTTATTATGACTTTAACTTTGTGTAGTTGTTATTTAGGCTATTTGTTTAATTTATATTATTTAAATTAATATTTCATGCCTTGTTTTAAAAAGATCTACAAGTCTACTTTTGATTTTATGGTATAATCTGATAAAAATTAGGCTGCTACATCTGAAAACTAAGGTCAATGCAAAGACTTCCAAATTAACGATAAGTAGGCTTGTATAGATATTGTATATAATTACTAGCCCAATAATATTACTCTACGACCAATGTATAGGACTTAATGTATCAGACCTAATTCCTATAATTAGGCCTACTAATCATAAAATAATTAATAGATCTAACAGTAGGATAATTACAATTATGGGCCTTAGCTGACATAGAGAGCTGAATACTTAACTAAACATTTTTAAAAATTATAGTAAGCTAAGTGAGTTGAATTATTTTATTTAGATAGGCCTAGGCTATAATATACTCTATAGCAGTCTATAGTGATAGTCGCAGAGTAGCGTATATCATAAAAATTTCAAATTAAATCTATAAGCAACATTAAGCCTCTGCCTTGTTGCCTAATTAAAAACTAAAGCCTATTAAGCCTTTTCCTAATAAGCCTTTGGCCTAATTTAAATAACAGCCTATATAATAATATATAAATAGGCTAAACTACTTGTAAGACCTAATAGACTAATGACTAAGAGAGTGCTAGGCCCCTTTCCGATATTATATAATAAATGCTTGATCGATATCATAATATCTAACACTGATTACATTAATTTACATAAGGCTATACCATCTTAACTATGGCTAATACTTTTTCTACTAATATAATAGGCTATCTCTAGTTTAAACTTAGGCCTAATAGTAATTAGTAATTATAATTAAGTAGGCCATTTTATGACATTTATAAAATTTTTAGTAGATGGCCGAGCCTTAAATTTAAATACTAAAATAGATTTAGCATACTATGCCTATTGTTGGTCTAATTAATAATTTATTTTTCATTTAGAATTTTAGATCTCCAAAAGATAGGCCTAGGTCCTAAATAAATTATTTTTATTTTATTGAGCCCGCCTTAATGTATAAGATGTGATCTGTTTTTTTAATAAAAATAACCCTACACAATACTAGTGATTTAACTAATATCTAGTACTACTTTAGGCCTATTTAATTATTTATTAGTAGGCTGAATAAAATCTAAAGCTATACTTTATTACTATATTTGCCTATTAATCTATAATTAATTTATGTTTTCTTTCAATACATTCATAGTAGATCCTGTGGTACCTCAACATTCTAGTGCCTCGACATACCAGATTTTTTAAATACGAGCAGTTGAGCGAGTAATATTTCGCTTTGAGTTACGCGCAAAATTTGAGATACCGTATTTCACAGTTCATGTAAAAGAAATACCCCCAAAAAGATGCAAATGATTATTTATCGCAGCTATTTAATTATAATAATAAGCGTCTTATTCATATTTGCAGCATTATGAAAGGGAGAAAGAAATAAACTTCCTAAACAAGTTTTATTTTAAGCTACCAGCACATGAAAGTGACTTAAATTAAGCATGGCAAAAAAGAAGAGAAAAGCTGTCACAAAAATTAAGCTAACGTAATAATTTTATTTAGTATTTAGGCCTTACGTTTAAGTCTTAAGTGCTACAATGCTCAGTGAATTTTAGCCATTAATCATTTAATGGCATTAAGTTTAGGAATGATGTGTACTTGTGTAGCTTTAGTATATTTTTAGACCTAAGCCTAAGCTTGTAGATATAGATCTACAAACAATTTGAAATAGAAGAGATTTAAAATTGAGTAGATCCTAAAGGACAGCTATGCCACAGAAATAATTATTAATTATCTTTCTATCTAGTCAATCTAGACTAGTGCTACTAGATCTACTACTGAAAAATTACTAGATTTTCTAGATCTAGATTCTATCATTTACTTTCGACGCACTAGGCATACTTTTAACTTTTTCTCTCTAGTCAATAATGTAGATTTCTAGATCTAAATATAAATCCTGATCTTGTAGATTTGATTTACGTAGGTTTTACATCAGTGTAAATCGTTGATCAAGTAGATCTAGTCTAGATCTGGACTAGGTCTCGTCAAAACAAAATGGCTGGAATATTAGCTTCAAAACACCTACAGTTTATGCTTTCCTAATTGTGGAGAGCATGTTTAATTATTGTTTTATTTTCAACGACAGTGTTGACTGAGAAACCACCAAAGGGTTTTATTCTCAGCGACACAGTCGGAGAGAGGCTCAACGATTCTGTCGTTGAGATGATCCGCATGGGGTGGAACAACACATCACATTTCATCACATTCACAACAACAAGGGTTAGTTATTAAATTAACTTTAAGACAGTTATTAACTTATATAGTAATATATAGGTACCGGTGTCCGATAATGAAATCTTCTGATCTTTTAAAAAAGGGTTGTTGGGTTGTTAGTAGTATATTGTAATCTTGGCTAATTTTAATATTATTTATTTAGGTTAGAAATTAGGGTTAGGCGAATGGTAGGTAGGACCAGGGTTTGGGTTAGGGACAGGGCTAGCATTGACATTAGCCAGCCATGTGTGTATTTCTCATTTAACTAATAAAACTATCAGTAATCTAACACCCCTTTTTTAAAGAAGATTCCATTATCAGTATCAGACACCGTTATAAACATAGGTCTTAGACAGAGTTGACTACTCTACTAACTACTTAAACTGCTTCTAGAATCTATATACTATTCTATACTTAGGATCTAGACTTAATTATTAATTAAAATTATAACGCTAGACCAAGCCATCCCAATAATATATTAGGCCCTAAAGAAAAGAGGGACGATATTACAAATCGTCCGTTTGAATCCCGGTCAGAACGTCCCCCCGGCTTGGCCTCAACCAACCGGCTGGCTTGTTGCATTGAGTTAAATATAAACTCAAAACAATAATGTAAACAATCTCTTTTCAGTGGGTCAGGCCAGATACCATGCATGCACAGTGCTGTGTATCGTGCCTTTACTTTTCATTATTTGAGTCAGGTACCCATTAGAGCTGGGTGGACCTTTTAAGGACATGAGCCATGGTTCTGAACTCAAGACTTTTGAATTAGTAGTAGCATGCTCTACCATTCTACATTTCTAGTTAAATTAGCTATATATGTTGCATGTACATTAGAAAGAATTGTTTGGCCCGCTGCCGTGTTGGGAGAAAGAAAGTGTAAACCAACAGCATCCACTTATTCATTCACCACCTCCTTACTCCACTAAAAAATAATTTAGCAAAAGGACAAGCCACTCCTACTCTCTTCACATTATATTATTTGTGTAGTGCCCTTTGTATGTACTTTTGTCTGTACCTTTGTCAGCTGGTATGTGATGCAAAGTCAGCAGACTATACTAAGTAAAAGTATTAATTTAATTGTGGTGTATTATTGTGGCATGTGTATACATTTTTAAAAAATCTGGTTTTTTTCCCATTTTTAGTTTTGGCAGTATCATTTTGCCAATACTTCAAATCTAAGTAAGTTTTAAAATATAGTTATTTATGATATATGATTAATTAGTGGGGAATGTGCTAATTGTACAATTTTCCCCCCAGTGAAATGGCAGGGGTCAAGTCTAACGGATTAACCCATATTTTTGTTGAACTAGCTGGACTTGAGGAGTTGAGTTTACCTTTGTCAAGATCAGCCAGGCTTAAGGTACATTAAATATCAAGTGTTGTTACAATTTTTATGCAGAAATAGTGTTTAGACATTTTCTTTTTCATATAGCCCTGGCTATCATTATTTTTGTTTTAAATTAATATATTGCCTTCATTAAAAAAATCTATTTCAGTATACATGCATATCTGTATCTAAAAAGTATGTGGCTTTGGGATCTAATACTGGCGGTGTCTACATTTTTAGCAGAGACACTCTGAAATATCTTCAAGTTGTCTTTGGAGATACAGTAAGTTAGTAGAAATAGATCTTATTTACTCTTGAAAATTATCACTAATTTCTCAGATTTAAGGGTATACAAAAACAACTCATATTATTTCATCTAAGTTGTGGCCCCTAACAGTGTTGCTTCTCCTTTTTAGGATGCTAACTCTGTTACCTGTGTGAGTTTAGCCCCCTCTGACCAACATGTTGGTTTTGCCTTGAGGTTTGTTTTATCAAAAATTTGTACTATGACAACACATTGATACTCTGTATTAAAAACAAAAAGCTATAAAAACTAAATATTTAAACAACAGTATTACTTTTATCATATACCATATACACATTTCATGTTTGGCCCTGTAAATTTATATCTTATTGAGCATTGTTGATCTGGAAAAAGGAAAATCAGAATTTAGTCTAAATAAATAAAATTGCCTTCTCTAAAAATGTGTTAAGGCCTAACTATAATGAATACTAATACCTACTAATTATGACAAAACGTTTTATATGATCTCACAGCACTGGCCATGTTGCTGTCTTTGAACTAAATATAGAAAAAAGAGCAAAACCTGAGAGAATCCGACACACTCAAGATCATTTAGGTCACCACATTAAGACCATCACATGGGACTCAATATCTTCCAAAATGTTTGTTGGTGATGAAACTGGAAAGCTCTCCATTGTATTTATACCATCTGCTAAGGTTTTTACTTTTTTTGTGTGGTTATTCTTAGCTATTTTTAAAAGTAAATGCTTAATTTTTTAAAAAGTTCTACGCATACAATTTTTGATGATTGAAGATACAGATTTCTGATAATAGATTCTTCCATAAATAGTTATGTTATGTTGTTGGAAGTATTGTAATCTTGACTAGTTTTATGGTTAGAAATAATGGTTATGACTTGGGTTGGGGGGTTAAGGTTAGGGATTGGGCTAACATTAACATTTTGTGTATTTTACTAAACTACCAGTAACCTGACACCCCTTTTTTTAAGAAGATTCTGTTACCAGACACTGATATACAAAAATCCCCCAAAAATGTCTAGGTTAAATTTTTTTTCTAATTATTTTATTACTTTGTTTATTAATTCCCATCCATAGCCTACACATTTATATTGCACTTGCAGGGGAAGACACTTTTTGCTGGCCCATCTGAAATAATTGCATACCTTAATGCCTCTGTGTATCAAATGGAGTGGTGGAAGGACAAACTGCTTGTTTCAACAACATCTCATACACACTTTTTTGATACCATTAAGTAAGTTTTAATTTATGAAAATACTTCAATTTTTTAAATCCCTTTTTTTTTTAAAAAAACAAGTTGAATTGAAATAAATTATTTTAATTGTACTGAATAAAGTTGAAATAATCATTTACCCTTTTCAATTGCAGACATAATTACAGTACCATTGGAACAAAAAAGAGGTAGATTAAATATCTTTTAAAAAAAATGTGTGCTCACTAGATTAGTACATATTTATTCCATTTTTTGTGTTTGCTTAAAAATGTTTTTAGTAGTTTAGTAAAAAAAGGATCTCTCTTTAGACCTAACGATCCATGGGGCAGATGTAGTTGAGTTCATATGTTTCTTGACCTCGGCATATAAAGGGATAATGTGGTTAGCACTATGCCCAGCTGCCTTTACTTTCCCTAACGTGAGTTAGGTACCCATCAGAGTTGGGTGGAGTAGTATAGTAAAACTGAGTTAATATTTTCTCTTTTTTGAAACTGTAGCCATTACATTTATATTTGTTAAATTTTTAGAAAAATCATTAGCTATTGTTACAAAAATGCTCATGTTAATAATTTAATTTTAATTAATTTTAAGTTACATACAGTTTTTTTTTCTTAATTTTTTTTATGGAGTTTGTTTATCTAACAAAAGTATAATTGAATACAGAGATGGCGAATTTGGTTCTTGCTTTTTTCTGGAACCCAACTCCCAGTGTCCTGTTGTTTACTGTGCAAGACCAGGCTCTAGAATGTGGGAGGTAACATATTTTAATACTTCCCTTCAGGTTTGTTCTAGCCTTTAAATGCTCCAACATTTTAAATAAAATGGTTTTTATAAAAACTGAAGGAGTAGAATTAAATATATATATAAAACATTAGATAGTTATCTTCATTGATATAAAAAAATATCGAGTTATTGAATTTCAATTAAAGGACATTAGTAAACAGTGTGAAAAGTCTGCATATCGTTGTCATGATTCATAAAAAATAATGTTTGATTCTCTCAGGTAGACTTTGAGGGTAAAGTTCTGAACACACATCAGTTTAAGCAGCTTCTAGCCATACCTCCACTACCTGTTGTGAAGCTCAGGTAACTATATCAGCATATTTCTTGTAGCTTGTATTTAAAATAACTGACTGTAAGAGTCAATTATTGCAAGTTTTTACTTATTGATTTTTTTAATAATAAATTATTACAATTCTTTGATTTTTCAATTTCATTTAGCTCTGATAAATTTGAATTAGCAGTCAGTGAAAAAAATCCAGCGCAGTCAGTCAATTTTTATAAAATGTTCAGAGTTGGGTAAGTGCTAATCATATTTGCTAATTTATTTTTGTATTTTGTTTGTTACTCTCCACTTTTCATGTATTGTAATATTATATCCCATTCAATCCCATAACGGCCGTATCCGGCCGCTACCGCGTCAATCCCGCAACGGCCAAATCCGGCCGCAAAATACACGGCTCAGGCGTTGATAAACAGCAACGGAACTGTAGCCTATAAAAACGAAATCTCACGTCTGCGAGACTAGACGAGGCCAGGGGAGATTACTAAAAAATTTAATTTCAATTACATTGATCCATCTCGGAGATATCGTAGTTTTAAAAAATGGCTTTCAATTTTCTTACAAGTTTGATAAATGATGGCGCTGGACCCTCTCATTTGGATGAGGATATTGATCAGTTTGATAACGATGAAGAGTCTGATGTAGACTATGAATTAATAAATGATGAAGAAAGTGGGAATGTGCATTTTAGTGATGATGATGCTAGTTCTAGTAGTGATGGTGAGGGCACTAGGCCAAGAAGGAATGAACAATTCAATGAAGATGGTGATCGAGACTGGTCAACGATTTTGACTGAGGTACAGCTTCACGATTTCGTTGAACATGTTGGACCTTGTACTACAATAAATGCTGATGATTCTTTCACAGCATTTGATTACTTTTCAGTATTTATTCCTGAAGAGTTTTATGGACACTGTGTTACTGAAACAAACCGCTATGCATTGGAACGAGCTCTTATAAAACCAGATACAACATGGAAGCCTGTGGATATTGCAGACATCAAACTGTTCATGTACATAAACTTTATGTTTGGCATTCATCAGTTGCCCCATTATAAACTCTATTGGTCTACAAATGACCTACTAAATGTTCCAGCAGTGTCCAAAGTTATGTCAAGGAATCGATACGAAGCAATTGCTAAGTATTTTCACCTGAACAACAACGCTGTATTTATACCTCGGGGGACTGTTGGACATGATCCTATTTTCAAAGTCCGACCACTCTTTGACACTGTCCTCAATAATTCTCTTAAAAGTTTGAAGCCAGAGAAGGATATTTCTATTGATGAAGCAATGGTAGCCTACACTGGAAGGCTAGTGTTCAAACAGTACATAAAAAATAAGCCAAGTCCCTGGGGTATCAAGTTGTGGTGCGCTGCTGATCCACATTCTGGTTATTTGTATAACTTTGATGTGTACATGGGGAAATCAAATGTGAAAATGCCCAATGGACTGGGTTATCATGTTGTTTTTAAAATGGGTGAGCCTTTCCTAGACAAGTACCACCATTTTTACTATGACAACTATTTTACAAGTGTCAAGTTAGCTGAGGACTTGCTTCAGAGAGACACTTACTCGTGTGCGACCATTAGACCCTCACGAAAAGGTTGGCCTAAAGAATTTAAAAACCTCAAGCTAAAAAAGTCAGCAACTGAAACTGGAGTCCGGTTTCGACAAATAGGAAACCTAGTTGCTTGCTTTTTTCACGACAAGAGGCCAGTGCAGGTTTTATCTACAAATGCACAACCCACTATGTCAACAACACAGCGAAACACTGCTGGTGGACGTGTGGATGTGCAGATACCTACACCAGTATTCACATACAACAAGGGTATGGGTGGTGTAGATCTACATGATCAACTGAGATCATATTATCCCATTGGCAGGAGAAGCAGGAAATGGTGGAGGTCTCTGGTGTGGTTTTTACTTCAGGTTGCCACAATAAACTCTTACATAATTTATAAAAAACAGTTTATGCAGAGACATCCTGGGCAGAAACCTAAGACACACCTAGAGTTTCGCCTTGATCTTTGTCATCAGCTCATGGCTGGATCTTCTGTTCGGCAACGTGCAGCAACTGACATCCCTGCAGCCACTGGCACAACCACACTGGACAACACAAAACATCAGCCAAACAGAATGTTCGGCAGGAAAAAAACATGCTACGAGTGTTCTAGGTCTAAAAGAAAGACCCCCACAAATAGGCCCATAGAAACCTCTAATGGATGCCTCCTCTGCAAAGTACATTTGTGTAAAGGACATTGCTTTGCTATATTCCACAATAATCTATAACTATAATACAAATGTTCTTTGAAGGTTTATGTGACTTTTTACTTCAATTTTTTCTCATCATTTTCTGTCATTACATCATTTGATTGACTGGCACATAAATTAATGCATAACAAAATTATCCAATGATAATCTTTCATGTGGAGCATTCAATACTTAATACAATGCACTTTATTTCTTGTATTTATGGTGTAAGATAGAGTTGCTATTAATTTTTTCCTGAACCAACCAGTGTAAAGTGCGGAGTTATTCCCCTTTGGCTGGGATTTCAGAGTATAATATTTCGGAGTGGCCGGGATTGAATGGGATATTGTCTACATTATTTTTTGTCTTAAATCAAATGTAAAGTTGTAAATTATTGAAATTGCTTTCTAAATTTAAAAAACCCTACAAAATATATAGTAATTTGTATTGACTGATTTGATTTTCTATTAAATTCTGTTTTAAAACACATTTTTTCTCTGCATTTTTAGCCAATTCATAGTCACATGGAGTTCTAAAGGGATTTATTTATTTGATCCAATCAATGTCAAGGTTGTTGTTTGGACACAAAATATCAAAGGTAATTTTATAATTACCCGATTCTGTAATTGTTTTGTGTAGAAACATTACAGCATGTTATTTAATTTTGACTTGAATATTTCCCCTTAAATTTCTTTTATTTAAATTAAAAAAAGCTTTTAAACTTAAATAAATGGTAATACTAGACTATTATTAGTGTGATAAATAAATCTGTGAATTTAAAATAGATACTGTTTATATTAGTATAATATTTTATTATTATGATTATATCATGCCATTGAGCCTTTTCTTGATCTGAAGATATCAAAGATGTTTGTGTCCTAAACAACGACATCTACCTATTTCTGGAGAGCTCCACCATCCACAAGTTAACCCTTCTCCCCATCTACCAGCTGTTCTCAATTCTATGCATGAGGAAAAAATGGTCTCTTATGTCCAGCTTGATGCTGTCCTCTGATCAGATTAATATTAGACCAGCTGTGATGAAAAGGGTTAATAAGGATTTGCTGCAGACATTGTTGAGTGGTAAGTCTAAATCCCCCCAACATTTAAGAAAAACAAAAAAAGAAGTAGGCCTATTATAAAAATGCAGAAAAATTCACACATAGTTGAAATACAAAGTATTTGACTCGAAGTTTTTATAGAAATTTTTTTTTTTTTTTACATATACTCTATAGGTCCAAACTACAGTCAGAATAATCTTATTGCATTTAAAAATCAGGATTACTTAAATTATTATTTATAATTTTTACTTTAGGCATAAGGCATTTTTTTCTTATAAGTTCAAGTTTAAAAAGTTAAAAAAATAAGATATTATTAAGAAATTAATTGTTCCATTTCTTTTTTCTAACTCTGGTTTCACTTTTTTATGTTTAAGGTCTGAAAGAGGAAGGGAAAGATGAGCTGCTGGAGAAAGTTAGAGCATCCATGGAAGATCTCAGTGAAAGTTCCATTGATTCCTTCTGTGCCAGTGATGACTTCATGGACTCAGCGGAGGTCATGGGTCACACGTACCTACCTTCTGGGATGGTTGTGGTCAGCGAGGGTGTCCAGATAAGAGAATCCAGAGCCAGTGAAAAAACTGAATCAGGAACCAGATATGGAGATGACGCTAGGCCTGGTGGTTCTTTTAGGGGAGACAGTGCAGACATTGAAACAGATGGTGAAGCAAGTACAAGATTTGATGAAAGGGTGAATGAAATCAAAGATGAAAAAAGTGATGATAAGTTTAACCAAAGTGATGATTTAAAAGAAGAGGATAAGATTGGTGTACAAGCAGAGTTAGAGGAAGTTAAGGTAACTGGTCACATGACAGATGATAGTCATGTGACTAGCAATGAAGAGATGAGTGAATCTGCTTTGGATGACAATATTTCTGAGTCGCTTGATGTGCATGAGCAAAATAAAAAAGTACAAGTAGAAAATTCTGAAAATAGCGTAGAAAACAATTCTGAAAGTAGCTTAGTAAAGAAAGCTGTCGGAGATGATGCCTTGAAGAAATTGTATGTCAACAATGGTATTGTTCAACCACAAACTGAGTTTGTTGATAGTGAAGAGAATGTTTATAATAAATTGAATCAGGATTTTAACGTCGTTGATTCTGACAAAGTTACAGAAAGCTTGTTAGTAAGCAATCAAAGTATTGTTTCCCAGCTTAGTGTTGTTAGTGACTCTGGGATGGCTGTACAAGAAGTTACTTTTGATGTAGTTCGAGGACAGGAAAAACCTGCCTTTACCAGTAGAGAACATGCTACCCACATTGAAGTTAAAGTGGATGCACATAGAGAGGATACAGGTTGTGAAGCAGTTGAAAGAATGCGCCAGGCAGACTTGTCTACTACAGAGCAGGACTTGAACAGCGACTGTGGGTCTGCAGAAACTTCTCAGTCTGAATTCAATGTAACCAACTCCTCCGATATCAGCAGTGACCCCATGTCTAACACCTCTGGGAACGTGATTCCAGATGGCGCAGAAACTGAGGGTTTATTTGATGTGACTGTTGACAACGAAGCTGTAGCCACTTCCACAGAAAACACTTCAAAACCTCAGCCGTATCAGGTAAATGCTGGGTATGATGCCAATGTCAGTGAAGCTAAATATCTTGTGAAAGCAACACAAAATGTAAAGCCCAATGAAGAAAAGACAATGCACAGGTTTTCCAAGAATGATAACGGTGAGTTTAATAAATTCTCATTTGTTAATAGTAATGTAAAATAACTGATTAATGTAATACAAACACAAGCTAAAAAGAGATATTTATTCTGTGTATTTAGTAGTCCAGTACTCACAACTGAATGTTATGTCTACAATTCACATGTAAACTCATTCATTAAAACAGTTTCTTTTTTTCTTTAAATTCTACAAATAATATACACCTAGGAGATATTTAATTTTGTTTATGGCACATCTGTGTACTCATTCTTGGAGAGTTCTCTAGGACCTTAGCCTATATAGGGGGTGGCATGATTGGGTGGTAGAGCATGTGACTTCTAACCCGAATGTCTCAAAATGTGTTACCGGACTGAATTTTGTAGGTTATCCCTGAGTACACCCAGCTCAAATGGATACCTAGCACAAGTTAAGGAAAATAAAGGCAGTTGGGCATAGAACTGACTACACTATTCAGTCACAGAAACAACTTTACTTTATCTGCCCTATTGTCTGTCACATCTTAAGAATATCTCTATTCCATATTAAAATTTAATACAAAACAACATCAGCTGTTTATGTATTCTGTGAATTTTTGTTAAAATAACAGCTCAGGACTTAGTGATAGCCCAACCACTGAAGCCCAGAAAGAAGAAGAAGAAAAAGAAAGCTCTGGGTACAGATACTATTGCAAGATCTATGTCTTTAGGTTTGTATCATTATGCCAGATTTATTGCATTGCTTTTATTATTATTATTGTTATTATTTTAAAAAATGGTTTAGTGGAGTACCTATTTGTAGCGTATCAAATTTGTTTAGTAGTATTATTTTACAAGTACAAAGAACTTAGTAAAATAATTTTTATCTAATCCAGATTCATTGCATTGCATTTTAATATTTCAGATATTTACTATAACAAGTCCAAGAATGGTAAAGATATTTTCCTTTTTAAATATGTTTCAAAGTTTCATAGGTGTACTTAGTATGTATTTTAAATGATTTCTTTTTTTTTAAATGTTCAACTATAAGAATTTCCATTCAGCTTTAAAAATCGGATACTGTAGTATTCAGATTTAAATTCCTATACTCTGCCGGTTCTAGTTTATAATTTTTTAATGAGTGAACATGTACAATAGGTAATTTAAAACAGAAGTGTATTTTGTAAAAGGTCCTTACTGCTATATTGATGTTGGACACTTTGATTTAGTGCTATAAGTGTGGGCATTTGACTAATGTATTTTCTCCTCTGTGTTTATGTAAACAGAATCTACCAGGTCAGCCTCTTTTGGAGATGATCCCGAGGACACCCTGTATGACCGAGTTGAGATGGACTTCGACGCGGTGTCCATCAGCACAATTAGCAGCATTGATGAAGAGGACGACTCCTTGTCCTCAACCAGTGAGGTGTTCAATGATGGCGCAGGCAAAAAGTCTTTTGAGTTTTCTGTCTCACCACCTGTCAGAAGCTCTGGGTCACCACCTGTAAGAGGTTTGTAGATGAATATATTGGCTTGGTATTACAGGTTATTGTAAAATTTATTTTAAAAAATAATTTAATTTACTAGTAGTTTACATTTAATCAAGTTTGTATTCAGGTGTTGAAACAGCATTATAGACTTATTTTCTATCAATACTAACATTCTAGATTTCTAAGATTAAATGTCAAAAATATAGCATTGAAAAAATTATTGTGTATGATTGGATTTGAAATTTTCTTTAGCATGCTGGTTAAGACCTTAAGTCAAAACTTCCATTGTAAGTATAACTGTCATCACATTTTGAGGATGCAGACTATCAGTTTATTAAATATGAATATATTTGCCTCACAGCAGCCACTATTTTTCATGCCTTTTGTTTGATTTACTTACTTGGACTTAATCCTCTTCCTTCCTTGTGGAGCATAGGGCCTCTACCAAAACCTTCCATTTTGTCCATTCCCGGCTATTGATTTTGCAATCTCTCAAGATAGTACATTTTGTTTGCAGAAAAGCAAATGTCCAGGAAAGCTTCAATAGAGAGCAGGCCAGACTCTATCCCTCCCTTGATTGACCGTCTAGCGGCTGCGCGTGTTGTCTACAGCAACGACGACATGATGGTAGGGAATAAAGAGAGCCCACCGAGCCAGAGCCCACTCACTGGCTCGGGTGAGCACTTTGTGGGCTCACCAAAGACTTCCTTGTCTTCTTTTACAGACAGGTGAGCAGGGCTTTGATTTACATTTTTGATTCAATTTGTCCAATAATATACTCTTGTGGTTATCATTTTTACTGTGTGAAATAATTTTAAAAATTTAAAAACAAGTAAATTGATACAATGATTTTGATAAAGATAATTAAGCTTAAAATTTAGTTACCCTTTTCTTGTTTAACCAATCTTACTCCATATTATTTCAATTTATTACAAAGCCTACAATTATAAAGGTTTAAGCTATATGCAAAAGAATATTTAAGTGTTTTTAAAAACTTAAGTAAATGACTTAGCAAATGTTTTACTTATGTAGTGGACTACATGTAGGTTATACAGTGGCACTTTGCTTTGTGCTAATTCCATGTAGAACAGCACAGTCAATTTTTTAAATAGCCAGATCTTTTTTAACAGTTTTAATTTTAACATTACCAAGTGACAGGTAAAATATTTTGCAGCTTATGTTACACACTCTAAAGCAGGAGAGCCCTAATTAACATCTCATTATGTACCTGCCTTTGCTATTTTTGCCATTCACATTGGCATATATCATTTTATTTTTATTGTTTTATTTCATGGGGTAAAGTTTTATATCCTCCCTAAATATTTTTTATAACAAAAGACATTTTTTTAGCTTTTCACAGTTAAAAAGTCAGACCAAGTCATTCATAAAAACAATAAAAGAGAAAAATTTGAAGATAGCCAAGTCTCCCAGTTCACCCATGTTATCTAGTCTTACAGTGCAGCAGGTATGTTCTTTTGTTTTTAGACTGCTGGCTTTAAAACTTTTGCTACAGATGTTTTTTTTTTGGACTGGGAATTTTAAAACTTCTGCTGTAGCTGTTGTTTTTAAATTAATCAGCCAGCTTTAACATTTTAACTATTCAACTTCCATGTATGTTACTTTAATTACTTTTTTGTTAAATTTTTAGCTGTGATATCCACTAATAAAATAAGCTATTTTTACATTTTTCAAAAACATAGTAAAATGATTTTAGTGTTAATGCACTTATTAAAGATTCATTACTCAAGCACCAATTGTTTAAAATAACTTTGTAAGGGGGGTATTGCTTTGACCTTGTACTAATAGAGCTAATAAATGAATGTGTATCCCAAAATGTTACAAAGGAAAGGCCTATAGTGGAATATGTTCATAACATTAACAGGTGTATTATTTTAATAAAAACTGATGATTTCAGTGTTCATAGAGATTGGTCACTTCTGCTATTTCATGTGCCAGGATGAAACTTGACACCTTAAAAAAGCTGTCAAATGACAAATGTTATTTTTTAATTATTTTTTTGTACAGAACTGCTTTTAATTTTTTTTTTTACTTTAAACCTGTTTCAGAAAAATGTTAGAGAAGAGGCTGATTTGAAAGTTCAAGATAGTGACAATAGCCGGCTTCCATCAACTGAACCTTCGCAAGACATCAGTAAAGATTTAAAAGATGAACCAGCTCCCTCTATAGACACATCAGCTCTCTGCAGCACTGCATTAGAGATTCAGAAATCTTTAGCCGAGCCTTCTACTTTATTGAACTCTAAACTGGTTCACCAGTTACTCACCAAATGGGCAGTAGAGCTGAACACAACCATGCTTCAGTACCACCAACTGTTGAAGCAGCATAAGGATAAAAATAGTAACAAGATTAAAAATGGTGGTGATGTTGACAAGGGATTTAACTCTGAGAAACTTGAACAACTGGTTAATGAGAGTGATTTGAATAAATCAACATCTATATTGCAAAACGAAAAAACCTTTCCATCAAACAGTGATGAATTAACTTCAAATATAGAGAGTTCCTTGTCTTTAGATAACTCTTCAAATAAAACTTCACCAGAGTTATCTCCCTCACAGTTACCACCTCAGTATTGGACTGATGTCTTTCACCTCACCGACCCATTTCAACTAAAGTACGAACACCTGGAACTTATCCAAACTTTGACAACAATGTGTTTTGTATACAAAGCTACAGGCAATGTTCTAAACGTCTTTGGGCTTTCAAATGAAGACCACAAAACCAACTTGGTTAAAAATCTGATCCCCCCTGCAATGTTCCAGAACTCAGCTAGTTTTCTTACTCACATTCCCTGCTTAAAGCTTATTTCATCAATCAATGAACCTGTTATACCTGATATAACAGAAAATAACCAAACAAACCTTATTTTAACTAGTCTAAAAAGTACAGAATCAGATGTATTAGATAAACATCAAGATACAGTAAAAAATAGTGATTTTAGTTCTACTTATAATTCAAATGATAATGGTAGTGTGAATTCAAATGTGCAGGCACATGTTATTGAAGATGAAAATGGGAACCAGCAGTCTTTAGACAGCGACATTACAAAAAATAAGTTTTTATTCAATGAGGAAACATTTTCTACTGATTTAAGCTTAGCTCTGTTTCTGCGAGTCTACTTTTTTGCCTTAAATTGTGAGAAAGTGAAGCAAGAGCTGGATCACCAGGGGTCAAAGCTATTTTTGACCTGGTCATCTTTTATGCATTGTTCAAGGGGTGAGTCATTGTAATTACTTAAAACTATAGGTAGTTAAAAATCTGAAAACCATTAAAGAATAAAAAAAAAAGTAAAAAAAAAAAAAAAAGTAAAGTTTCCCTTTCAAACCTGACGGTCTATGGGGCAAGTGAAGTAGAGTTCACTTGTTTCTGTGACCTCGGCATATGAAGAGATAGTGTGGTCAGCACTATGCCCAGCCGTTTTGCTTTCCCTAACATGAGTTAGGTACCCATCAGAGTTGGGTGGTCTCAGGGACGGTCTACTGACTTGAACCCGGATTCGAACTCAAGACTTACGGGTTAGCAGCCCAGCTCTCTACTGCTAGACCACTCCGACCCATAAAAAAATAGTATGATCTATAATTTACTATATTTTACTATACTTAACAGCGCAAGTGGAGTATAAATAGTTAACAAAATGATTGCATCAGACTTGAATTTAAGTCCCTGATTTATTTTTTTCAAAAGAAATATTTGTCTTGCAAAATTGTGTAGACATTGGTTTCATCTAATCATTTTCTACTCATTTTTATGTAACACAATGCTATAAAATTAACATCTGTTCACAATTATATGTGTATAAAATTTTATTTTCTGTAAGTTCATTTTTTCCCTTAGACAGGGGTAAGGGAGACATTGTGAGCAGCATCTTAGCAGACAAGCAGGTGAATTCTGCCATAGACTACCTGAGGTCTGGGATATTACCTCACCAGTCTTCTCTGTGGGGCCACATCTATCAGTGAGTATTAGATTTGTTTGCAGCATAACTTTTCGTAACTTAACTGTCAGTCAAAGAAAAAACTAATATATTCATGCAAGTTCTATTAAATTTTCTGTATCTTGTTTTATCATTTTTTTTTAAAATTTTTGTCAAGTAAACATATTTGTATTTAAAATTTAAATAATATTGGAAAAAACTATTAATTTAAGCGAGTGTGAATTTAAAAAGTTTAGATTGAAAATTTAAACAAAAATTTGGTCTCACCGAAAAAAAAAACAACTACCGTAACAATAATATCACAATATCCATTTTAGAATTAATTCAACTTATCTTTGGTTATGTGTAAATTATTCAGTCATCGAGTGTAATATGATTTGATTCTTTTACTCTTATGTGTAAAATGACTCAGTACTAGGTGTAAGATGACTGTTACTGTTTTGCGTGAAATTCAGTTACTATTCAGTTACTACTATGTGTAATGACTCAGTTACTTTTATGTATAAAATGACTCACTTATTGTTATATATGAAATGACCTTACTTGCAGGTTATTTGAACAAGTCCCATCTAAGACCAGTGAATTTGCTGGAGAAATCAGCAAACAAATCACAGCCACCGACATCCTCCATCTGTGTGTCCTGTGTGCTAAACCTGTCTCTGTTTGTCTGCCAAAGTATGTCAAGCAAGTCATTGTGGATTTGCCTACAGTCCAAAGGTCAATAACCATGTTTATTTCAAATCCTATTTCAATAACTTTATTATCCCCCTTTGCTTGATTATTGAAATAATTTTTTAAAACCAGCAAATTTAGAAATTAAAAAAATAAATAAAATTAGGGCATTAGAGGATTATCAAGCACATGTTTTTAAAAATAATTTAAACTGTTTTGAATGAATTTCCAAACAAATTTGTAAATTAAGTATTTATTTTACTCACGTAATGCTTCTAGGCCAACAGCCTTCAGTGCCTTATGTACAAATAGGGATGTCCGTTATCTGCTGCTTGAGGCTCTACTTCCAGCCCTAACTAAAGAGCTGCCCCTTGATGGCACTAAAAGGTATTGTCCATTTGTTTTTTCTGTGGTATTGGTAGGATGTGGAATCAAGAGTGCATGGCAGAATTTTTTCTCTTGAATCTTATGTAGGGTTTCTGTAACAAAATTTGATACAGTCCCTGTAAATATCTACACACTGGTAAAAAAGATAAAGAAGTGTAAAAGAAAAATGTAATGTCAATCTAAAAAAATATATCCTCAATCCCAAAATTGTAAACCTAAATTAATTAAAATCTGTGATATAAGCCTTTGTTTGAAAGCTGACTTGAAAGCATTACGTATTAACAAAAACGATTTAATAATTGATCGTAACAAAAAAAAACAATTAATTGTAGCCAGTATCCTTTGTGACCTGTTGGTCAAAATAGGGTTTTTTGATCTCAGCATATTGGGAGATTGTGTTGTTGACTAACTGACAATTTGGTGGTCTTACATCTGTGAACTGAACTTAATTATTGTTTTACAAAAATGTGCTGGATTACACATCCAACTTCAGTCATTTTAGCCTAATTAAAATTTTTAATTGATCTATACTGATAATACATAGTAAAAATACTAAACCAAAAAGTTTACTTTTTGTTTAAATTTTAAGCATTTTCAAATATTATTCATGTTGAGATTTTAAATTTTTTTATTTCCAGCGTGGCAAGTCATGTGGTGTCTATTCTTCCATTTGATTGGCTAAACATTCTTTTGTCTCTGGTTGATGTTGATGAAGAAAGAGAAGAAATAGTAACTCTTTGTTTAAGTCATGGGTACACATTTTATTATTTTATTAGGGCTAAAATATTGAAATATAGTTAAATAATTTAATATTATTTTATAAGTATATAACCCATAGACATTTTTCAGGTTGATTTAAAATTATAAATGGTTATGGTTATTTGCAGAAAATTTTGTTCATTAATAGAAACTGTTTCTAAATGGATCCATTTAAAGATTTTATATTTTCAAATTATTTTCAAATTTAATAATTCATGAAGTATTACTGCTCGACTTACTCATTAAAGGACTTGGAGAAAAATACATGTCACTCTCTGTTTAGGTATTGGCCAGTGTGTGTTAAGTTGCTTACTAAAACTGACCAATGGCAAAGATTGTTACAGTTAATTGTTGATATTGGTGACCTGAAGCTTTTAAAAGGAAAACACGGTGAAGGTATGTACAGGCTTTCACTACAAAATCCATATATTAATTAGGTTTATTACTATTTTACTATGATGAGACAAATTATTTTTTTACCATTATATTTCATAATAAAACTTTTGCTACTGAATTAGTCATTTAATTTTTTTAAGAAAATAAATGCAATAAATTCTGGGACATATATTTAACTTAAAAAAATACCTCTGATAAAAAACCAAATACTCTGATATGGTTGAGCTGACATAAAAATATTGTTTTACTTTTAATTTATTCAACAATAACATTCTTCTCTGTACCTATAGACCTTGGTAACTTAACATAATACTAATGAAATCTATCAATATTAAAAAAGTAATTCAGTACCATTTGAACTTGGTAACTTAACATAAGATTATATTAATGAAATCTATTCTGATTAAAAAAGTTTAAGTAAATCTGTAGGGATCATCAATTTGACGTAAAAAATTTGATTTCCTCTCCCCTGCCCCCAATTTTGTGTAAATGAAATACATTGATATTGAATTTTATGTGTGAATACCCATCCATCCATTCATGTAATCCCCCACCCCACCTCTCCTGGGTGTGTTAAATTGTTTGACCCCTAATGTATAGTTTTGTGACACAATGCAAACATTGTAAATAGAATTTCGACTGAGCAAATTGAGCTGGCTGTTTAACTTGCATGATTTGTATTGTAAAACAAATATTCCTTAAAATGATCACTGTTTACCATACTGGTAATTATGTTGTCCGCCAAAAGCTTTTCACATAAAAATTCCTGGCAGAGTATACAATTTTAACTAACCATTAAATTAAAAAAAAAAAGAATTTAAAAAAATTAAAAAATAATGTCAAACAGTCAATTGTTCAATTGTTCTTACCTATTTTGATCCCATACCAGATGCTTACATACCAAGAAACCTTGAAGAGTGGAGATATTTGTTAAATTACTTCCATGAGAGGCAGTCAAGCTTTACTGGAGAGGTGCCCACTCAGATGGATATCCCTTGCACAACAGAACACAGCACACATGCAGCTCCACCTTGTGATCCTGATGTACCACAAGTTAAGTCAGTCCATAACCAAAACAAATGGGCAACAGACTCTTCAACAAAAGAGGTACAAGAGATCCAGGACAGGCGTATCTATGCAGAAATCCAGTACGAGTCTTTCAAAACAAAACTAAATATCAAAAGGGACAGCTATCAAGATGAGGCTTTGTCATGGAGCAGCTTGGGTTACCTGCTCTTGGAGCATATAGGGGGCGCTGCTACAATAAACCTGTTGATGGAATATCTTCACAACCTATTGGTTGCTAAAAATAGCTTGAGCACAGAGTTTTTGAATGCTTGTTTTATAGACTTCAGCATCAAAGTGGAACAAGAGTAAGTCATTGATGCCGTACTGTTATATATTTTTTAATTCATTCATGTTGAGGAAACTGATACCATTGATACCATAATGTAATAAATTTTTAATTCATTCATGTTGAGAAAACTGAATTATAAGTTTGAAAGTCAAACAACTATTGGTCCAAGAGTGTCATCTATTGTAATACACAGGACACACTCAACTACTTGGTACAATAATTGGGTAACCATTGCCATAATGGAAAGGCTTAATTACCACGCGACGGAAAACTAACAATTGCAATACCTGTGAAAGTAGTAGGCATTGTAATGTCAGTGACAGAAATAACCATTAAAATATTAGTCATAGAACTAACCACAGCTATGTCAGTGACAGAAAACCACGGCTATGTCAGTGACAGAAAACTACGGCTATGTCAGTGACAGAACTAACCACGGCTATGTCAGTGACAGAACTAACCACGGCTATGTCAGTGACAGAACTAACCACGGCTATGTCAGTGACAGAACCAACCACGGCTATGTCAGTGACAGAACTAACTACGGCTATGTCAGTAACAGAACTAACCATGGCTATGTCAGTGACAGAACTAACCACGGCTATGTCAGTGACAGAACTAACCACGGCTATGTCAGTGACAGAAAACCACGGCTATGTCAGTGACAGAAAACTACGGCTATGTCAGTAACAGAACTAACCACGGCTATGTCAGTAACAGAACTAAACATTAAAATACACTTATTTTCCACCCACCAGTCTAGTGACCCATGAGATGCTAGAAAAAATGTCAGCCTACATGTGGGCCAAGATGCCAGGGTTTATTCCACCATCTGTAAGTTCTGTGTAACACCAGACTGTTGCTGTTCTCATTTAGTTTGTCATACCACCCTGATACATTTTGTAGTAACCCCACACTGTTGCTGAACTCCTCCACAACATAATCATGTATTATTTTATACTTAGAGAAATATTTCTTTTTTTTTGTGTTTTTCTGACCAGGTTTACCATGCAATAACTTTAGAGAGAAATCTGAAAGAGAAAGGGGAAGGAGAGGGGGTGACACTACAAGGAGTGGTCAGTGTTTTCTTCTTGAGGGTCTTAAAATGTTTCACATTTTTTGTTTCTGTTTTAACAAAACAAATGTTAAAATTTTTGTTTTAATATTATAAAAATAGCTCTTACAATTTTTTTTTCTTTATCAACAAAGATATGTTACACTTACAGTATTTAAAAAAATTCTGTTAAACTTTCTGTTTCAGTAAGATTTTAAAAGATAACTGATTGTAAAGTGTGCTAAATGTGTACGATTTCATGATTTTTCAGTTTGGTCAAGTCAAGTCCTTGAATACAGAGGACATGTTGTCTGAAAATTTAGGAGGTCACTGGGGTCAGGAGGTGGACATATCATCGTAAGTCCATCGTTTAAAATAAATATTTGCTTGCCTTATAACAATAGCATATTTAAAATTTCTAGATTTCGACTCATTATCTCCATTAAATTTAGTATTCAACTTCAAAATATGTACTTGTTTACTTTGTTGATTTCACACTAATAATTATACTAATTGATAAAACAATAACTGTTTTATCATCACATTTTAAATTCAAATATTGGATTTCACATTCAAAAACAGTTTGATTAAAAATAGTTTGTTTCTAGAAGTTCAAATACCTTAAAAGATAATATATATAAAAATTGAAAAAAGTACTAATTCAATTTTTGTTTAACCCTCTAGTCCCTGTTTGGGCTGTAATATTCCCTTGAAGTATGTTATGTCACTCTCAAGTCAAGGCGTAGTTGTCTTCCCTTGCAGTAAGTTCTATAATTATTTTACTTCCTTTAAAATCAAACAAAACAAATCAACAATTATATTTTTATAACTGTAATGCAGTTGACTTGAGCTGTGCTTACAAATGTTAAAACTATGAATGTAACAATTTAATGAGTAGGTAAATCAAGCGTTACATATATGAATTAAAAAAAAAACAATTCCGTACAAATATTAAAAATGCACTGGCACAATCAACACTGCATTATTTTCTCCTCATGTTATTATTTATAACTATTTTTTTCTATTATAAAAATATATTTACTAATTAATAAAAAAAATGCATTTAATTACAGAACATGCCTTCCACAAATGCTGTGCCCAAAGCCAATCATGCCCCCTGCTGCACTGAAGGAAATATTGTTTACAGTTGCTGTTTGTTATCACTTAGTTGGTAAAAGTGAACTAACTTGTTGTTTTCTTTTGTGGCCAACTGTTTGTTATTCCCATTTGTGCAACAAATTCATGTTCCAATACTCAGGTTCTGTTGATTCTTGTTGCTCTGTTTTCTATTTTTAAACCCTGTGATAATAAGCTAACTATGATTTAAACTGATTGAAAATTCTTAATTAAATAATGTCCATGTGTAATAAGCAGGTGTACAGACTAATTTCATCAATTAATTAGATGATATTTATAGTCCGACAAGTAATACACAGCATTGATTTTTTTCCCCATCTTTGAAATTGTTTTGTTCTTTGCTTAATTAGAATGCACAAATAACATGGGTATTAAGAACATTTTAATTTAATGTGCCTTAACTTAGTCAGTTTAAGAAAACTAATATATATGTGAGAGAATATTTACAATCTTGAAATAAATGGAAACATAATTGTTTCCATGTTTTGTACAATGTTTTTTGTTTCCTGAGTTTTTCTAATCAAAATTTTATAGTTTCTAGGTTTGTATTATTTTTCCATACATATTTAATTGAAGGTCTGGATACTTTTTCATTGCAATCAGTATTTGCATATTTCTACTTATAAATTTGTGATAATTGTTTATAATCTTTTATTCCAATTAATGTTTTTAATCAGCACACATTTAATTGGCTTATATTCATATATTGCAATATTTCAATAACATAATAACTTTTATAATTTTCAAATATTTACTTGATACAGAAGTTTTAATTTGTTTTTGTGTAACATATTTTCTGATTAATCCTAGTTTAAATTTTTTTAGTTGATGTCAAAATGAAATTCATTTGTAGTGAAATAATTGATTCTGTTTGGTTGTGTTTGCTCACTTTTGTAAGCCTTTTGTTTGTAAGTTCTAAAAAGTGCCTTTTTTTTTGCACATACAGTGTATATCATTTCTGAAATAAATTTAACAAAGTGCTATAGACCTTGAAAAACTTCATGATCACTAGTAATTTCATGGATTTTTTTTTTCTTTTTTGATAAATCAATAAATTATTTTGATGCTAGATTTTATCAACTCAGATGGGTACCTAAGTCACGTTAGGGAAAGTAAAGGCGGCAGGGCGCAGTACTAACCACCACCAGAGGCATAGCGACCCTTCCCCGGGGACAAACTTTCAATTTGGCGCCGCCCCCCCTTGGGAGCAAATTTTCAATTTGCAACCCCTCCCTCAAACTTTTGATTTGCACACCCCCCTCTAACGTTCGATTTGCACCCCCACCCCATCAAACTATTTATAATGCAAAAATGCAGCTAAAATGACATTTTAATTTGTTTTTCCAACCCATTTTGGCGCCCCCTAAAGTCGGCGTCCGGGGACATATGTACCCCCCCCCCCCCTCGTTACGCCTCTGCTTACCACACTATCCCTTCTGATGTTGAGGTCACAGAAACAGATGAACTCTGTTCACTTGTCCCATGGACCTTAATGTCAAAGGACAACTTTACTTACTGACTTACATAAATACCTTCGTCTTGCATTTAACTCATTGCATTTTGATAAAGTCAAACGTGCCTGATCTTTTAACTGCTGCAGCATGAAAACAGTTTTGTTAAAAGTTTATTTTGCTTCTCACAAAATTTATACTCCTTGTGCCATGAATTACAAATAAACCAATTTGCATTTCGAGTTATTACTTTGTTTCAATTTATTTAATGTGAAAATAATTGACTTTTTAAATTTAGCAAATGCAATATATTTTGAAATTAGTTTTTTTCACCATGGAAATAATTCTGTTATTTCCTTTTAAAAAGTAGTTTCTTTCAGACAGCATCTCTTCGGGTAGTGTGGGGGACGGCGTGGGACGCATTGCCGTAAGAAATAGAAAAATTATATGATTAAATATATTATTTATACATAAATGATGTGTTTTAACCAGTGTCAGCTCTCCCCACCCCCCGCCCTACCCCATGTTTCAAGTACTTTCTCTAATGGAAGAAAAACACTGCTTTCAAATGAAAAGGAATTGTGTAACATATTTCTACAGTGGAGTTAGCGAGTGTGCATATGTGTTCCAGAGGCGTAGCGAGGGTGGGCGGAGGGGGGGGGACATATGTCCCCGGGCGCCGACCTTAGGGGGCGCCAAAATGGGTTGGAAAAACAAATTGAAAGTTTGAGGGGAGGATGGTGTGTAAATCAAAAGTTCGAGTGGGGGGGGGGGTGCAAATCGAAAGTTTGAGAGGGGGGGGGATGTGTGCAAATCGAAAGTTTGAGAAGGGGGGGGGGGGGGGTGAAAATCGAAAGTTTGAGGGGGGGGGGGGGGCAAATCGAAAGTTTGTCCCCGGTCGCCGGTAAGGGTCGCTACGCCTCTGGTGTGTTCTTCAGCCATCTCTTTTGTCTCGCCTTATCTCTCTCTGTCTCTCCCATCACTATGCACTGCAGTATTGTCTTGTAACAGCTGTTGGATCGTGCCCATACAATTCGAGCTTGTACGTCTAGACATTGCTAGGCAAATCTTCAAAAAAAAAAACCGATCACATTTCTGACTCGCAGACCTCGTTATGTTGTAAGATCCATGTAGTAAATCTCTAGGTCTGCGTCAACTTCCCGTTCATTAGGTCCGTCTCTGGCAATGTTTCTTCCAGACTTTTTTCTCCGAGGGGCTCTTGATATTTTCGGGGTGGGGGGGGGGGCGGACATCGGTAAAAGTATGTTTTCTATATAAATTCCATTTCGTTCGGGGGGCGGTAGACTTCCTTCGGGGGGGGGGGTGAGCCACCCCGATGAGATGCTTGGAAGAAACTCTGGAGCTCTGTATTGAGCGTCCATGCCTCGTACCCCCCCCCCCCCCTCAAACCTTGCAACCACTAACCTTGATAAAAATAATGCTCACGCTACCCAGACAATATAGATTAGGGACGACACCAACGGGCCATTTCCCCAAGGTCACCGTTGTTTCAATAATCAGATCAGATGCCATGGTAACCACATAATTTAAACAATTAATATGAGTTTTTAAGTATTGCATAAATTAATACATCAGTATCAAATCGATGGTAGCAATTTACAAACGCAAGTATGGGGTCGTCCATAAATGACGTCACACTCGGAGGGGGAGGGGGGTCCATAATTTTGTGACGGTGTGTGATGAGGGTTGGGGGGGGGGTCAGATGTTGCGACGTCACACTTTTGCATTATAAAAAAAAACAATGTTAGAAAACGAATTTTAGACGTTATTTCGCGTTTTAGAAAACTGTTTTAATAAATTGCAATAGGAATTGATTAAAATACTCTATTTTGACAGAGTTCAGACAAGATTTTGGAAAAATATCGATGTTTTAAGAAAAATTCAACTGCAATTTTGAGGGGGGGGGGAGGTGTAAGCTGAGGTGTGACGTCATTTTAGGGGGGGGGGGTCTGGCTTTTGTGACGATGTGTGACGGAGGGGAGGGGGGGGGTAAAAAATCGTCATTTATGGATGACCCCTATTATAATTTATGAAATGTCGACAACAATTCAAATACTTAAACAATGGGAGTGTCAAAACAGATATTGACAGAACTTCGCATATTTACAAAATTATCATTTTATCATATTCATTCGTACTTTTATTTTTTGAAAATCAGAACAAAAGCTATAAATGCAAAAAATGTGTTGACAGTTATAACTATTAGCAAGCCTAAATCAATGTGATATACTAAACCATGGGAAGAAATTGTAATGTATTCGTATTGTTCCTGTTAAACTGGGTAGATGTGAATCTACATTTCCTTAAAGAAATGGACCCGGCACGAATGGCGATGTCTCGGCTGTACGCAGATTTAGCAGCACATCCGGTTTTTCAAAACAATTTGACCTCCCTGCCAAAAGTTGGGGCGGTGGATGTGGAGATCTCATTGTGTCCTGTACAGGTAGGTGTTGCAAATAAAATACTGAATGTTTAATAAAAAATTTTTTTGCATCCATCAATTTATTAAGTTGGGAGGATTTATTTTAGAACTTTAAAACAGGTGAGTCTTCCAAAAAAAAAAAAAAAAAAAAAAAAAAAAACAACAACAACAAAAACAAAAAATCAACAAGATCAAATTAAATTATAAAGGTAAAAAAAAGAAACAAAAAAAAAAAAACAACAACAACAAACAAACAATAACTGTTATTTCGAGTTGTGAGCCATCCTGAATGTGCATTCTTCAGAGATTAATTGGTAGCTTACATTTATCGGACGGCGATGTTGGATGGTAGAGCACACGACTGCTAACCCGAAAGTCTCGAGTTTGAATCCTTTGTCCGTAAGATGTCCCTTAGTCCACCCAGCTCTGATACGTATCTGACTCACCTTCGGGAAAGCTAATGTGTTTGGGTTTAGAGCTGATCACACTATTTACATGCTGAGGTAATAGAAACAAGTGAACTCTTACAACTCTAGTTCATCTGCGTTCATGGATAGCCAGATCCAAAGGGTAACAGTCTTCTATATTTTCTATATAAATTATATAAATTTCGTTCGGGGGGGGGGGGGGCGGTAAAAAATTTTCGGGGGGGGGGGGGGGGCGAAGCCCCCCCCCCCGAAGAGATGCCTGGAAGAAACTCTGATCTGCCCGAGGGTTCGAGACTTTTCGGTTTAGCAACCATGAGCTTTACCGACTCGACCACGCCAAGGGTAACAGTAACATGTTACATTTTCTCCATTTGATGCAAGGTACCGAGGTTTGTGGCGATAATCCCCAGACTATAAATACTTTCTAGCTTCATTTCGCTAGCGTGTCAACTTTCACACAGGTGATGAAGGTTGAAGACGCCAATCAGAAAATAGTAACGGCCTTTCAGTTTGATGTCACGTGGGTGGACGATGACTTGGCTTGGTCTGAACAACACTACGCCAACATCTCCAATGTGAGAATCCCTGTTAATTCGTAAGTACCGCTGTTGTATTGGTTAGTCCTGTTTTAGCTACAACTAATTTTGTATGTTTAACTAATTTTAATCTTAAGATAATGGAACTTTTATTTCTAAAGCATTACTTTTTCGGAAATATTAGTTATTAATGAGTCATAATAATTTGAATGTATTTTAAAAGTAACACCCACTAGATTTTATGATGAAAGTAGAGCTATAATGATAAAAATAGTAATTCTACAAACGTAGAACACAAATTTTAACATTTGTTATAACCCATATAAAGGTATATACCATTTCTACACCCCCAACCACAAACGACGAAACTATTTTGTGCCACGATTTTCTTTTAAATTAAAAGAATCAAATTTTTAAAGAGAAAATTGCTTGTCGCATCTTCTTGAAAAATGTAAAAGTAAAACCATATTAAAAAAACAACAACATTATACCAATTTAATTTATATTCCATCTCGTTGTGCCGACCGAACACACTACACCACACAAGTAAACAAAGTGATAAAGCAACCCTTAGCTCCTTCGTTTTACTTGTATATACCCACGATCCTAACCTCAATATTTTATCCCACTTCCAAATAAGCTAAACCTTAATGTACAGCGTCTTCGGATAAAAGCTAATTGTCTTTCTTCAAAGAAAAACGTTAATACATATTGTTCTTTAAAATTATACAACCAATCACTAAAATCTGTTCATTTTAGGTAAAAATATTGACTCCCTTTTAAATTTTAGAATTAATGAGTAGGTCTACCAAGTGCAGAGGCGTAGCGGGGGGGGGGGGGGGAATATGTCCCCGGGCTCCGACCTTAGGGGGCGCCAAAATGGGTTGGATAATTGAATTGAAAGCTTGAAAGGGGGGGGGGGGGTGGGTGCAAATCAAAAGTTTGATAGTGGGGGGGGGGGGGGGGGGGGTGCAAATTGAAATCTTGAGGGGGGGGGTGCAAATCGAAAGTTTGTCCCCGGGCGCCGGGAAAGATCGCTACGCCCCTGACCAAGTGGAATACATACAACTTTTGCTCTTGTAACTTGTGAATTTATTTCTCTACTTTAGGCTTTGGCATCCAGTAATTATTACAGTAAATGATGCGTCAAGTTTCAACGAAGTTCCCTACCCAGACATGGCAACGTTATACTCAACTGGTCAAATTCGAATCGAAGCAGGAGTTTTTATCCAGAGTTACTGCGCTTTTGACATGACTAATTTCCCCTTCGACTCGCAGACGTGCCGAATACTATTTATAGCAGCAGGAATGGGACCTCAGATTCAAACAACATTTCTTCTCAAAAACGAATCTTTATTTATGAAAGAAAAAGATTTCGATTTCCTATTACTAAAAGGAGAATGGATGATTGAGGATAGGTCTCTTATTACAAAAGTTCTATATTTAGATACAGCGTTTGAAGTAAGGATTCGAATTAGGCGTGCAAATCTCTATTACATTTTGTTCCTTTTGGTGCCCCTTATATCTACCATGCTGTTGACCCTGTTGGTGTTTTGGATCCCTCCTGAATCCGGTGAAAATATATCATATTTAGTCTCTATTTATATGTCGACATCATTGTTCTTGGGCCTTATTGGGTAAGTGTTATGTTTTATTTGTAAGTTTTTTTTCGTATGCTTATACGTATATCTTGAGGGTTGGGAAGGGGGGGGGGGGATTCTAAGTGCGTGTGCGGCTATAAACTTACTTTGGGAGGCAGTGTCAGTGTAAAGAGTTCATGATTAAGACACACACACACACACACACACATATATATATATATATATATATATATATATATATATATATATATATATATATATATATATATATATATATATATATATATAACATTTTTTCCATTCACCCTCAGGGATAATCTACCAAAGAACATGTCCAGCGAAGACAATGTGCCTAAGCTAACAATGTTCCTCGTCTTCGTTATTATAGAGTGTATCGTGGCGTTAATGGCAACAGTTTGTGTCATGCGCAGACATAAACAGGAAATGGATCAAGTAAACAAAAGAAACAACGCGGAATGTGGTTGTTGTAATAAAGACAGACAACATGGAGAAGACAATGCAGAGAAATCGCCACCCACAATAAGCAAATTCGAAGATTTGGAATACGAAACCAACACTAAAATACCAGCGACATATCTAACATTGAAAAACAACAATGGCGATGGCGCTCTACGTGTACACAAAATGCTAATGACCAAGTTAACGGCTAACGTGCTGGCCATGATTTTCTTTTTTATTCTTTCAGTTGCTTGTATCGTATTCTGCGCCCTTTGTTTTTACTAAAAATCGTTCATTTGCCTCACTACATTGCATTATACGATTTCAATATAATATTACATCACTACATTGCAGATTTTCATTTCAAAATGACATTACGGTATTTTGTGCCTAAATCATTCTTCTATAGCACCCAATTTTGTTTCAAGAATTAAATGTAATCGTTTCAAGATAACATAACACAATGACATTAAAATATTATACCACAAGATGTCACTACAAAATTTTACCGCAAGGTTACACCACAAGAAGTCATTATCTACACTATAGAAGTACAAACACAAATAATTTAATAGTAACCATTGGAGCGTTAATTATTATAGCTGGGTTATGGGACGGTATGTTCGAATGGTAGAGCCTTAGGCTGCTAGGCCGAAAGTTTCAAGTTCGTATTTTGGTCGGACTGGTGCGTTAAAGGCGACCCTTAGTCCATTCAGCTTAAATGGGTACCTGGCTTACGCTGGTGAAAGTAAAGGTGGCTGGGTATAGTAATGACCAAACCATCCCTTCGTATTCCGAGGTCAAGAAACATATGAACCCTACTTCATCTTCCCGATGGATCGCTATGTCTAAATATGAATCCTTTTATTTTTACCTAACCAAGCTGACATGAGACCAACGATATCTTAGAATCTCTACAACGACAAATTTGTTCGCCATGCCGATTGGGTATAGTAGAAGAAAACACAGCACCAAGGAAACACCTCTTCAGCCACTAAAAGCAAAGGATGGATCAATGCTAATTAACCCTACAATACCCAAATGCTTCGGTTGATTTTGTCTTAAAGAATTACGAGCAGGGGACCTGCTGCAAACAATGTAAACAAAGGAGTATAGGTGAATGCGCAATAAAAATGTGTAAGAGTCCTCTCTCATATCATCATAGGACCTCACTTCTTCATTACACACGTCTATAAGCAGTTTAAGGAATATGCTTTTAGGTTTTAAAAACAGATTTAATTTTAAAAAGTTAACATTTGGTAAATTCAGTCGAGTCGGTAAAGCTAATGGTTGCTAAACCGAAAAGTCTCGAGTTCGAACCCTCGGGCAGATGAGGCTCGTTAGCTGGGAGCAGCCACTCTTCTAGGAGAGACAACTCCAAAATCAAACAACTGCTGCCTTGTAGTTTGTTCTTGGTTGGACAAAGGCTATGGAAGCAAATCCAAAAAAAGAAAAGCAGGCTGAAATCGGAGTCAATGGCCTCAATGGCGCATAACCAGTTGACACGTATCCTTTGTGATGGAGGCGTGGTCGAGTCGGCAAAAAGCTCATGGTTAATAAATTCGAAAAACTCTCGAGTTCAAACCCTCTGGCAGATAAGGCTCGGTGCTCTCCAACACTAAAAATTAAGAACGAAGAAGAAGAAAGAAGTGAACGCACGTTTCAGTGAACGAACTTTTCAATGAAAGAACTTCACAGAAAACAAATGTTTCAGTAAACTAACATTTTAGTAAACCAACGTTTCAGAGAACGAACGAATCGGAGAACGAACGTTTCGCATAACGAGCTGAGACTGGAAAGCACAATATTCGTTGATCAAAGAATGACTGAATTGAATTTATATACGAACTCAAAAAAAAAAGTTGAACTCTTTATCTAGATTAACTATAGTGATTCAGTGTTTATAAAAAATTGTTAAAAAAAACTAAAATAGAAATCATGTTTAAAAATAAAGTTTAGCAATACTCTTTATATCTTTAATTGTCTGTTAACAGCAGTGTGTGTCTGTTTTGGAAACCATCATCTAGGAAAAGTGAAAAGCCGTTGGTGAGTTGAACTTGACTGAGGCATCAGATTAATTATGGAGACTGCGCCACAGAACATTTACCGATTGGTTATAAATGGGCAGATGCCTCCATCATTTACACGAAACATGCACGCTCTTCTTTTCGCATACACAATGAGTTAGAGGGTTGAATTCCTATCTTTGTTGCATTGCTATTTTAACTATAATGATATAATTCATGTAAAATATTTTCCTACCAGTAGTGACCAGGATATATTATTTTTTAATGCTTTATACGCAATCCGGAATCACAATTAATATTTTATTTTATTGACAAGAACAGAAATATTCACGCTAGGGTATGTATTACAAATACAGAGAACACAGGTTTTTACAGATACGATAACATTATGCTGTTGTGTCAGTGGCGTAGCCAGGATAGTCTCAAGGGTGGGGGGGGGGAGGTTCCAATTTTTACCCGGGGAGAAACTTTCGATTTACACCCCCCCCCTCAAACTTGCATCCCCCTCATACTTTATATATATATACCGAGGGGTCTATGGGGGGGGGGGGGGGTTATGACCCCCCTAACCCCCCTGCCTACGCCAATGTGTTGTGTTACACGTCGTTTTGAGGCTGGGTTATAAAATAGTTTCGAGCCCCACGGGATAGTGAGCTAGTGAGTTGAGCTTAGCCCCGTGTTAAATCAAACAATGTTTTTGCACTGTCATATTGGCTGGTCGTTTCATTCTCGTAACTATGGTAACCATACAACAAACATTTTTAGACGCGTAATGGGTCAGATCCAGAACAAACACTTTTAAAAAGCTGAACAAATAATTAAATTAGTATCTTTAATTGCTACCCACAAACCCTAATGAAATACGCATGCGCATTGAACGAGATAAGGAAGTATAAACCATGGCAATCAACAAACAGCAGACATTACAGTTTGATTACATTGTAATAAAGGAAAAGCATTTTTGAAAAGATTTGCCTAAATTATGAGCCAGCATTCAACAGTGTGATGTACCATACAATGGCACCAAAGAGTTATACATTATTTTTGGTCCTGTTAAACTGGGCGGATGTGGATCTACATTTCCTTAAAGAAATGGACCCGGCACGAATGGCGATGTCTCGGCTGTACGCTGATTTAGCAGCACATCCGGTGTTTCAAAACAATTTGACCTCCCTGCCAAAAGTTGGGACGGTGGATGTGAAGATCGAATTGTATCCTATGCAGGTAGGTTTCTCAGAGCTATTGTTATTAACTCTACACTTTTAATGTTTCTTCCAGACTTTTTTCTTCGGGGGGGGGGGGGGGGGTGCACTTGATCTTTTGGGGAGGGAAGGGGCCGGGCAACATTTTCCGGGGGGGGGGGGACGACGACGACGACACACACTGGTAAAAGTATATATTTTCTAAATAAATTCCATGTCGTTCGGGGGGGGGGGGGCAGGGCTGTAGACTTTTTTTCGCCCCCCCCCCCCCTCCGATGAGATGCCTGGAAGAAACTTTGTACACTTTGTATTTCTAAAACATATTTTATTTGCATATTAAAAAGTTAGTTGTTTATGTTTTGAATGAATGTAGGCGTCTACAAACCTCTCTTCGTCTACCGCCTCCCCCTCCCCCCCCCCCCCCCCACACCAAAAACGACAACAAACACACACCGCACTAAAGAGAAAAGA